TGTCGTTTCAATATTTGGTGAGAATGACTGCCTATAAAAGCAAGAATATTTGTGCTTTATTGTGCCTGTTTTACACAGCCCCACTTTCCTGTCTTAAGTCCTGTCATTAAGCAGACTGGTGGGATTTTTGGGAGCAACATTCAGAAAACCCGCTGAGCACGGCTTTATCAGAGAAAACCTTCCTTTTTTTTTGATAACCGGGTCCAATAGACAGTGGCACAGTTCCACCAGCCTCTGAATGGAGCCTTTTGTAAGAGTTCACTACAATCATTTAATTGCCGTAAACCAGAGAGAGAGAGCCCAGCGGTGTTATAGACCGAATTGAAGGCAAACTTAACATGACTTTGCATTGTCATGAAACACTCAGCAGCAGAGCCTGTAAAGATTTACAGTGGAAACAAACTGACACCACCTTGGAATGATGAGGAGACCGACCCCACTAATGTACGTCTCCAATTCATTTTGAAATTTTATCTGCATTCCGATTTCTGGAATTCAGCACCATTTCCACACTCCCCCCAACACCCCCCTCCACCCCCCCACCCTCCCCTTTGTGAGTATTAAGTGTTCTACAACAACAACTTGCACTTAATATAACGCCCCTCATGCAGGATAGCGTCCCAGAGCGCTTGAGCTTGGAGTTCTACCTGGAGTGAATGAAACATAGGGTGCTTTGTAATAAGCTCAAGGTCCCCTATTCCAGCACAAAATCTGCACGGTCACACACTGTTAATATAGTTGGGTAAATTGTGGCGCTGGTGTGAATTTTAAGCAGCTTATTAGAATGTACCAGCTACTGCTGTTAAAGCCAAACTCTTACCTTATTTAATAAATGACACATTTCAATAGTTTATTTACAAACTGCATCTCGTGCCAAGCTTTGTGAACTATATGTCACCACGTTGTGAAAAAAAATCCATCTTGTAGCATTTTCACTCCCATGTAGGATGGGGAGAGGAGCTTTTGCACTGCACCTCACCCTGGGCTAAGACATGAGTTGGTTATTGGTGCTATGAAACTCTCTGCGGAACCATAGCTTTCGACAGATTATAAATATTGCTTTTATTTACCATGGGCTGTACTGGAAGATTTATGTAGCACACCTATACTGAGTGCATGCAGGTCATTCCAGCCAATTTACAGTGCAGGGAGGAGGGAGGATGATCAGCCACTGGTTTGTAGGAAAATATAACACGTAGATATGGGTCAGGCTTCTGCAACCACACGCACGAGAGTGAATTGCAGTGACCCTCCCAGCAATTTCCCCTTCTCTCCCCACATGCAAATGGCTCATTTCTCCTGGGCACCTTTGTCTGATGATCTGTCTAAGATTAGATCACTGTGGATGCAAACATGTGCCCTGCCACTTCTTGGCTCAGTGCGTTGGAGCAATAACATGTCTCAGTCACTGTAAATGCAGGGAGGTACCTGTTTCCAATGGAAAGACTTCAGAATAGTCTGGATTTACGTCTAAGACATGACATACTGGGGGAGTGTAGTTTACGTTTACTACAGCTCCATTCTACACTACAGATATCTGTTGATTATATTCTTGTCTCTGAGTCAGAAGACTGTGAAGTCGAGCCCCACAACCTGACTCTAAGATGACACTACAATACTGTTCTAGGGGAGCCCTGTATTGATGGAAGTACCGTCGCTTTGGCTAAGATGTTAAATCAATTCCCCGTCTGCCTGTTCAGGTGTATGTTAATAATCCCACGTCACTATTTGGAAACAGAAGGAAGGTTCTCTAATTGTCCTGACAAATAATCCCCCAGATAAAATTGGTCATTTTTTTCATGGCTGTTTGTGGGACTCTGCTGTTGGCAAAATTAGCTGCCAAGTTTCGCCTACAAAACACTGCATTTTACAGTAAATCCTGTGAAGTGTTTTCGGACAGCTTCCTGACATGAAAGATGCTATATAAGATTTAAAGATCATTGTTGTAAATAAGTGTACTATTGGATCTTAGTGGAATCCACTTCAATTTAATAGATAAACAAGGGACTGCCCTCTGAAAACTCAGATTCCGATAGAACACTCGATAATTCCTGTTAAAAGCATTCAACAAAAATATTAGCCAAGACGTCTTACAAATAAGCTATCTGATTACTTGGTTGTGGAGGGTGAGACATGAGTTGTGGATTAGCCCTGAGCAAACCCATCCAGAGAACAACCGACTGTGCGGTGCTTCCCTTGGAGGCTTGGTGGACGAGGGCAGCATTTGTGAGTCGCTCTCCATTCTGTCCGAGACGTTGTGCTCGTTTTGACTCGTGCAGTCATGGTGCTGTTCTTACACCTATTCAAACGACTCTGGACGCACTCGACTGTTCCTCAGAGTGAGCCTCCCAAATCTGAATAATAGACAGCAATCTTTTAAAATTCTTTCAAAGTGATAAATCTTTTACTAACTATTATTCAGAAATTTAATGTTAAGTATGAAACCCCCTCCGGCTCCACTCTGCGCTGTGAGTAAAATGCTGACCTTCCTCTCCCCTGCTTGGTGTTCAATCCCGTCCCTATAAAGTGCTTTGAGATGTTACCCTGAGATGTGAAGGACGCTACATAAATGTAAGTGTTGAAGTTGCTGGTGATCTAAACATTAGACTTTCACATGTTTTTGTTTGTGTTTGACAGCGCTGAGGTTTAACAAGTCAGCCAAATTTGATGTTGGTAACAATGTTTAAAATGTCAAGGCAAAACTTTTCATGAAGATTTTAATAAGGGAACCATTGGTTTGAAAAGGGTTTGCAGACAGTTTCAGGCATTTTCTTTGTAGAAGAAAAAAAACTGCCATCAAATACTGACAACATGAATCCTACTAAAGTCGGCAGCTTAAACTTGCTGCACAATGAAACACGGTGAAAGCTCATTCAGAAGACACAATGAGCAGCTGAAAGATGGAAGTGATGCAGTCAGTGGCACTGATTACACTCCCCGTCCTTTTCAACAGGGAGCTGTATTAGCATGTTCTGGCTGAGGGGGAGTTAACCTGATGCTTTTTCAGAGAATGTATTTTAAGAGCTTGCATTTCCTTGCATTTGCTATAGCGCCTTATCATGTCTTCGAGACATTTCTAAGCTTTTCACAGAATGTACTGTAAAATGAATCGACTGTATGTTTTGTGGGCGAAACACGGCAGCCAATTGCGCGCAGCAGTGACCCAAGAACAGTCGTGAGCTTGTGTAGAAAGTACAAACTTTGAAGCCTCATTTTTATTCTGTGTGTAAAAATGTTTATCAACGCATTTTTATTAACCATTTATTTTTGCACCCTCCAAGTGCAAACAGTTGGGGGTTCGGATGGGGAAAGGGCTTCACATTAGACAAGGGCTTCAACACGTTCACCTACAATATACACAGTCACTACAGTTTATTTTAAATCCTGCGAAGCGCTTTAAGGTGTCCTTGTAACGTGAAAAGCTCTGTATCAAATGTAAAGATGCTTATTATTGGGTTATTATATATGATGGTTGGTACTTTTCTTTTTAAAAACAAAGTCGCTCTTAACGCTTTGATGACCAGCATGTCTCGGAACATCTCGCAAAATACATGCTTAACATTTCCCCTTTGATTTTGACAGTAATGGTCTATGTGTTCTGTAGCTTCTCTAATTAGTTTGCAATGTTCCACATATCTTGGTGTGCGCACAATATGGCTTTAAGACTTTTTGGAAGTGGGGAGGAAGGGGGGTTGAGGGGAGGCAGTCTGCTTTTCACTCGGTTTGTTCATTCCAGACATCGCAGCCCCATTTATGTTCTGTGGTCCTTTGAATATCGCTAGACTTTTAATTTAACAAAAAACATTTAATAAAATGTAATCTGGGAGCACTTACGCCCTTAACAATGTTCGTTTCTGTTCAGTTTCACATGGTTAAAAATAATTCTGGATCAACCAAGGCAGGAATTCTTTTCTGTATTCTGGCTAAATGGTTGCCTCGATTCATGCCTGGAACACAGAGTTATTTTCCTGGGTTTTTACTATGAAGCAAATTCTTATTAGTCTTTCGTTCTTTGTTTCTCCTTCCTTTCGTCTACGCCACACAACAAACCCAGCCAAGGTGGGTGGATGTCTGTGGCAGTCAATAGAAAACTTAGTCCATCCAGACACTCACAGTGACTGTGTCTAACCAGCCAATGACAGATACATGAGAGAGACTCATAGTGACTGTCTCTAACCAGCCAAGGACAGATACATTTAAGGAATTATCATTGTGATTTGGTCAAAGTTAACATTTACATAAAAAAATTCACCTCCAAACTATACCTACAATGAAAGTGAGAAAGATGATAACTTATTTACTGTGTTTGGTTTCGAGCATTTAACTCCTAACATCAAGGCCATGGGCCAGGCCTAACACTAACCTGGCTTCTCAGATCTCCGTTGGACCACTTCACAGATACCATGTGAAAGTGAGAGGCTACAATCTCAGCCAAGTAATCTGCATAATGGCAGATAATAAGTGTATCAAGGTGCAGTTTTGGAGACGGCTTCACTGTCTGCATTGAAGCTCAATGTGTGTTGAGGAGTGACTTGTGGAAGATGATATGGTAATAACAAGGGAGGAGGGGGGCAGAAACTGAGCATATCTAACATTGATACTATCATTGAGTGAGCCAAGAGATTTTCACCCTTATTGGTCATTGCTGATGGACTCAGGTGGTTTAATAAAGAGCTTCTTTTCTTTCTATTGGAATCAATGTATGTTTGAACAGTGCAAACCTTGTCAATCAGTCATCTCTCTCTGTACACAGTGAAAGACAGCAATCAGTTCATGAGGCTGTTGAAAGTCCTGGTAATGGATCAGGTAAGGGTCTCACTGTGCACAGGTTTGGTTCAGTTAAAGCTTAGGTTAGTCTCACTTCTACCACCGCTACAGATGGAGTTTTTCTCTGTTCTGTTCTGAATTAGGCCGTATAGCAGGTTGAGTGGCCTTACTGAAGCAGGATATGTGACCCTGAACCGGGGGGAGAAACTGACTTTATCTGTCTTGCCCCGCAGCAAACCCAGCTCCGATCAGTTGAACACGGAGTGGCGTTGGCATCAGCAGTCATAAGGGAGTCCATGGCTCGTTCACCCACCCTCCCGGCTGAAGGAGTATGCTTGAAGGTGAGCTGTCTTCAATTGAACTGGGGCAGGGTGGCTGGTCATGGGACATCGGGAGAGTGATAACAATTTCATGTGGCTTTAAAAAAAGTACTGAATGCATCCATCACCTGGAACCAGAGCGCAGGAAATAAATATTCAGCATTCAGTTTTATTCAAAGTAGAATGAGAATAGGAATACAGCTGTGCTACCTGCTGTCTCTGTCCCATATGGAGCCAGGCGACCATGACATACCCCCTAGCTGCCTTCCTTTGCAAAGCCTGACTGCAAATTAACAAAATGTTATATTGGTGCAAAGCTGCTTATGTGCAGCTTTGGTGAAACCCTACCATTTCACCCAACTCAAAGTCTGGATCATTCCCATTGTCAGCTCAGGCATAACCGTTGCCTCTTCACCACCCGCATGCGCTAACATTTTGTTATTTCATGGTCTCCCCTTTGCACAAGAAGGGGAAATAATCCCTTCAAAAAAATAATCATAATTTGGTCACTCAATCCACGAAGAGTTTGTGGGACGCTGCTGTGAGTAATTCCCTGCTGCGTTTTGCCCACAAAATATACTGCCAATTTACTTTACAGTATATTCTGTGAAGTGCTTTGAGGCGCCTCAATGATGTGATAAAGTGCTATATCAAATGCAAGGATTATTATTATAGTTCCAGTGTGAGAACGAACTGTGACCTCTTCTCCATCTTCTACTCAGCATCCAGAACTCCCTCAGACACAGATCTGAGAGCAGAGCCCCTTGGCACTTAGCCACCGCAATGGGCTGCTTCATTTTCCGCCAGCGACTGATTTGCACCTTATATAAGATTTGCTTCATTTGCCCCATTAAATTGGTTGCCACATTTGCCTGTAAATACATAATCACTGCACTTTACAATAATATCCTGTGAAGCCTTTTGAGATGTCTCAATGACATGAAAAGATGCTTAACAAATCCAAGGATTATTATTATTATTATTATTGAAACAGTACACAGTACCATAGTAGTTACAATCACCAGTGAAACATACGTCTCAAAGACGTGATATGGTGCTATATCAAATGCAAGGATTATTATTATTTATTATTAAACTCATAAGAACAGCAGGGTTAAGGGGGTCCCATGACAATTGGGCCATCCTGAATTGAGTAATTTCTATTTTTACCAGATTCATTTTTATATAAATGCAATTGAGTCCTTTAGACTTTAATTAAGGCCATGATGAGTGTTGGATTGTCTGAACTGTGTGACTGGTTCACAGGGGAAGTCATACTGCACCAATCATAAACCACGACTGATCAGACCACACACATGGCAAGAAGTTTAGTATATGGGAATCATATTGAAAACAGTTTAGGGTTTGTGTCCCCCCCCTCCCACCCACTCCGCTCCCTCCCACTGAAGTAACTGTTGTTACCGAATCTTAATGGAATTTAATGTTGACAATTGCTGCAGAGCCTCTCTATCCTACCTGTGAAACAGAACTGAAACCCACCCATTAATCATTCCGCCTTTCACAAACAAGAAGCAACGAACAGGGAGAAGAGCCCGAACATAATGCCAGGACATATTACAACTTTCCTAAGCGTAATCATTAATATCTTTCTAACTTCCCTGCAGGCATGCACTGTTATATTTCACACATGGCTCCCAGCTGCTTCCAATTGTGGTGTTCAGTGCAGTCTCCTTTATCTTATCTTTTTTAATCAATACATTTCTAAAACGTAACTTTGTGAGAATGCATTTCATTCCATCAGACGCGCTGGGAAGTCCGCAATTCATCAGCCACCCCTGGTTTTGACATGTCCCTTTTTTTTAATATATATAAATAATTTTGTAATCATTCCCACACCCGTGCCTTTGGAGCACTAATAAACAACACAAAGAACATCGCCCACAGTTTAGCAATGGAGCTTCAGAAACAAAGAACATGCTTCAGGCTGATACTGGGGACAATTTTTTTTCCCCGAGTTCATTCATAGGACTCCTTTTCTGGAGCATTTGTACAAACTTAAGTAACTCTGCAGGCATTTCTTTTTTTAAAAAAATGTCCTTTATTCTGCTAACGTCCATACTTTGTTGTTGATTGCTTGAAGATGGAGCAGGCATCTTGTCACCTTTTAATCACTCACTTCACTGGTCTCAGGGCCCGGCTTTGACATATTTTATTGGGAATCTTCCAGGAAACTCGGCTGCAATCATATTAGTACATTTTTCCAATCGGATTCCAATATACTTAAAACCCTGGTTCCTTAAAGATATTTTATTTGAGGTGAAGTATAGCCTGGGTACTCTAGACTGATTTAGAATGGAAGCAATTGAATAATACAGTTGTATTAAATGAAACAAACATTTTATTTACGGTTGGGCTGTTGGGTAGGGCAAGGGAAACTCTGATCTTCTGGATCGACCGGTTCTGTCTGTTTTCAGTATCACCCACCATGACCCTGAAAAGAATACTAATATCACAGTGGAAAGCACCGCTCAAAAGCCTGGGGTGTGTTAAAGGCTGGATTATTAATCCACATTTGCTAAAATTAACTTTTAAAGTATTTTGTGTAAAAATATACAAAATAACAGCAACAAAATTACATTTGTATAGCGCCTTTCACGTCGGGAGGAGGTCCCAAGGCATTGAAAGGGTAAAGACTTTATCCAAACTTGCTCAATGGTCTCTTATTCGTAAGTAGGAGTAAATGTAGTGATAATTGTCCCAGGCAGAACTCTCCAATCTAGATTAAATGTACTGGGCGATTCCATCCCTGGGATCCTCCACTGCCCAATAACATTTCCAGACTTAGCAAAAAGTCCATCACGTATACATGTGTATCAGCCTGGCGCAGTGGTTGCACTCTCACCAGTGACTCAGAAGGTTGTGGGTTCAAGACCATTGGGACTTGGAATCAAATAGGCTAAACTGACTCTCCAGTGCAGTGAACAGCATTATCAGAGGTGCCGTCCTTTGGATAGGATGTTAAACCAAGATCCTGTCTGGCTGTTCAGGTGAACGTTAAAGATCCCATGGCACTATTTGAAAAGAGGAGGGAGTTTTTTCCAGTGTCCTGGCCAACAATCTCCCAAATAAAATGGGTCACTCACTCCATGGCTGTTTGTGGGACATTGCTGTGCACTACTGGCTGCTGTATTTCCCACACAAAATACACAGTCACTGCATTTTAGAGTATTTCCTGTGAGGCGCTTTGAGACATCTAGACGATGTGATAAGGCGCTGTATCAAATGCAAATACAAGGATAATTATTGACATTATCAATGATTAGATGGGGCCCAGGTTCGATGTAGTAGTTGTGACTGCCATAAACCAGCCCATTTGTGATCCATGCAAAGCGACTAATTGTAATTTAATAGCAAAGATGACATAGAGCAAATTGTGATTAAAACCTAACTTTTGAGTATATTTAATGGTAATTTTACTTATTTAGAAAAAATCTATTTTGACTGTATGTATGTTCTTGCAAAAGTAAACTGAACTGTTTATACTAAAATATTTTAAAAATAGCTTGCTGTAAACAGTACATGCACAATAGATTGTTTCAGTAATAGTTTCTGGCTAATGTTGTTATAACCTTGAATTGAAACACTGAAGAGCCATCATGTGGGAGATGCTGGTTTTCACCCTTGCCTTATAATTGGTAGCAGCAGGGAATAGACTTCAGTGGGAGAAAGAACAGGGACAGATTACAGTTAAATCACCAGCCCCAGCCTGGACAATATAGGTGAAATAGCTTAATGTTACTAAAATAAATTGGAAGTCAAAGAAGAATCAATCATTCAATGTATCGGTTAGTTTTCTGCTGCATTTTAACAGGCAATGGCCCCAATAGCATCTAAAGTCACTTAACTGTAAAATTTGATGAAAGCTCCTTCATACCAAGAAACAACTTGAGACTCATTGAGCTCTGACATTGTCTCCCAGTTACACAGCGCGGAGGTGGGGGCGGTTGGGGGGTGGGAAGCGCAAATAAATATCCCACAAACCCCTAAGCGCCCCCCCCCACCCCCATCTTGACTAATGAGATGACTGTGTTCAATGTTAGATGTTTTCTGAGATGGTTGTCACATTGTGAAAGAGACGTCTCAGTGACAAGCTTATTGAAGTATTCAAGTCCTGAAAGGGTATACACAAACTGAACACAAACACAATACCTTCAACATGTTCCAACGATCCTGGACAAGGTGACACGCTGAAGCTTGGGAGAGCAATGGCAGACAGACAGTTCAGAAAATAATACTTAGCTTTGGTTTAGCACCTTTCACGTCGGGAAGACATCTCAAAGAACTTCACATGATATACTGTAAAGTGAAGCAATTGTGTGTTTTGTGAATATGTGGAATAGACAACTACCGAGGCGATGGAGACAGGTTGTGTCAGTAAATCCAAGAGGGAATTAGATAGCTATTTGCAGGAAGAAATTGATTGAGGGGTATCAGATATAGGGCAATGTAGGATTGTTTGTTATGTTTTGTTTGGTTTGATTCAAGGGATCCGAGATGTTATTCTACATGAAGGGCACAGTTGTATTTTATTTTACTTTGGAACCAGACAGATGGGACGTCAGTGAACATTTCCGGTCCTGTGCATTCCTGTGCGCTATGTCTCATGCCTGCCCATGTGTACAACTCCCCACACTGTAATTAGCTACCGAAATAACCCACAGTGTAAAAGCAGCATGGAGCGGATAGTTGCACTTAAACGTGTAGGAGCAATGCCAGTCTGGAGAAGAATAAGTACTCCTTAAGAAGAATAGAAAGCGTGCCGCAATCCTCTAGGCAAAACCAGTTATAATTCTGAACTGTCAAAGGGGACGCCCTTGTTAATGGGCACTGTGTGTGCAGCCTTACTTGAATAATAGAGGCAGATACGGGGAGAGGAGGAGGATTGGATTTGATGGCTAAGCAAAGACAATTTGGGTATCTCAAAGGAAACGGAACTTTCCTGAGAGGCAACTACGTGGCATTACATTCATCTGCGGAAACCTGATTAAATATCGAAGAAAAGCTCAAACACGGAGGAGTTCTCAAGCAGTTTGGGTTCATGATATTTGACAGCTCTGTTGCACATGATATTGCCCATATTATATTATTACTGTATTGAAGTATTGATTTATTACATGTTCTATTGTGTCAAAGAACCTGCAGGGGATTGTTTTTGCAATTAAAATAAAGTATATTCAAACCGAACGCATAACAAATAAAAGAGAGTGGGGGGGTGGGTGGGGGGGGGATGGCTGTGCACAGATGAAGTTCTATTAGAAAAGAATTAACAGCGAGAATTGGGTCGGAAAGTAATTTTGTGTTTATTCAATAATTTAGGTTCTGCACAGACAGCAATCGCAGCCTACAAAGGAGAGTTCACCCCCACGAGAGGACATAGCCACTCAGCCACAAGCTGCTGAAGATAACTGTGCCAAAAAGTCCAGGTCACGTACTAAGATCTCAGTGGAGGCACTGGGTATCCTTCAGAGCTTTATCCACGACGTAGGCCTCTATCCCGATCAAGAAGCCATTCAGACCCTTTCGGCCCAGCTGGATTTGCCCAAGCATACCATCATCAAATTTTTTCAGAACCAACGTTATCACGTTAAGCACCACGGCAAGTTAAAAGAGCATTTGGGAACTACGGTAGATGTATCGGATTACAAAGAGGAGGAGCTGCTGACTGAATCGGAGGAAAACGACAGTGAGGAGGGCTCCGAGATGTACGCCATGGAAGTGGGAGAGGAAACTCCCAACAAAACCAAAGCCAAACCTCCCGAGATAGACCAGAAATAACACGAAACACACCAGCGATCGGATACCTGAGTCAAAGGGTATTCTCAATTCTATGTACAGTGTTGTGTTCTACATTAAGTACGTATGGAGTACAGCAGTATTGAATTTGCAGGTCTAATCTAATGTTGCCTTGACAAAGAAATCCTGAAATGACTTTGTTCTCACAGACTGAGAAGGATCCCCTCAGAGTTTGCCCCCACAACTCATCCTGCACTAAGAGTTAAATAAAGGAACATGGGGATGGGGGAGGGGAGGGGGTGCATTTAAAAAGGAGCTTTTATCAGAATTTACTCGACACAGACGATTTATAAAGTTGTGAAACAGACTGTACACTGAAATGTATCACGAAGACTCACGGTTTATGTCCTCAAACCCTGTTCACAATGAGTTGTTTTGGCGGATGATAAGCTGCCTGGTCAGAGGATGTGGCAAAGCTAAAACTGCTTTTCAAATCCCTATTTATTTTCTGAGTTCACCTCTAATTTTTGACTTACGGCATACCTGCCCCGGTCGTTGTAAAGATGTACGTTGCAAAAAAACAAGGATATAAAAAACGATGCATTTTGCAAAATAAGATGAAACCACTGCCAAATGCACCCACGCACACACACACACACACACCCAAGTCAAACACCATGTGGGAGAATGTGAATAGGTTTGCGTGGTTCAGTGATGGATGGTTCAGTCACCTGTGGTTTCCCATTTGTACCAGGATTCAAAGTCAGGAGTTGCAGGTAAGACACACTGTACTGATCTATGGTTACCGTTCAGCCCATGGTCCTCTAGTGGAGTGAGATTAAATGTGTGCTCCAACAGTGACCAAATTGACCCCACAACCGAGCAGGGAAAAGGTAATAGGAAACTGGAGAGTGAGTAACATTTCATAAGCATGAAATTCAGTTGCACACAGTAATAAAAGCTGAGGTAGTTAGTGTATTTTGTTATATATAATAAGTACTGGCACTTGAAAGATCCTTTGCAGGTCTCTGTAAGATCAGTGCGTGATCTTGTATGAATTAATTCCCAGTTTAGGAAATTAAGTGTAGTAAAAGCCACAAAAAAGCTGTAATGTTTTCATTAAAGCATCTTTGTCTCCATCACATTTAGTCTTCCTTCCACACATTGTTTCCCTCGACGTCCCAACGAGTAAGCTGATGGGAGTTGGTCGTGCTGTCGGATGTTGGTTACCACATCATATCCCCACTGCTAACATCTGCCAAATAACTCGAAATCAAACAGGAGGTGACAGATGTTTTAGCATCTCAGCAGCACTATCAGCGCGCTATGGTATCCAGCAAGGACAAGGCCATATTGAATACTGTGGAAGCCTGGTGCTTTACCTCAGGACTGCCCCTTACACTTGATCTTAAGTAGAAATGAATTCATTTTATTCAGGGATGAACAGATGTTAATGGAGATAGACTAGGACATTAGATGAAGCTGCTCTCACACAGATCTTTTATCTGCGATGGACACATTCTTAAAACCTCCCCTGTAACAACCCTCTTTTCCCCTCTCCCCTTCTTCTTGTGACTTCCCAAACACATACTTTCTGCTAAGTTTGTACAAACTGTTCAGTTAATAAGGACACGATAAATGNTTTTTTTCGGTGGTTTTGTAATATTTTAACCAAAACATGTACTAGACATTGTCAATGCTAAGTCTTGCCTATTCAGTTTTATTTCACTGCTATGTCTGCAGTGATTTTAAGTGAATCTATGGGCATTTTAGCCTGTGGTCTTGCCAGAGATTTGAAAAGTACAATGCATATATGTCTATTTATTCATTATCTGTCATATATTATCTATTTGGGGAAAAAATCTTTCTTTCATAGTGCCTCTTGAGAAAGCACAAATTTCTGCCTTTGGTAACATGAAGAATAATTGTGTTTTTTGGATTATTGACAATGTGAATATAAAATTAACATATTGTAAATGTTCTTTTTCATGTGAATCAACCCTCTATCTGCATTATCACAAAGTGATAATTATTTTTAAGTTATGTGCATTGTTAAGACATTAGATCTTTTGTTGTTAAAATAAAAAGCATTCAATAAATATATCTAAATTTGTCAAGTAGCTTGCAGTATATCAGTGTCTCTTTTGCACTCTTTTACGGTACTCTACAATTCCTGTAGCATAGTGTTTAGAGAGCTCGCCTCGTAGGCATGAGGACCAGGGTTCCATTCCTGAGTGTGGTGAAATGTTAGGCAACTTTCCTTACTCCACACGCCTCTGGTTATTTAGCAGTAAGTAGGAACTCAGTTGTTAGTCAATTGGCAGATCGCTTTCTGAGGATAATAATCCCTCAAAAACAACTCCTGTTCAAGTCGATGTTAAAGATCCCATGGCGCTATTTGAAAAGAGAAAAGAGTTTCTCCCGGCATCGTGGCCAACAATCCCTCAAATAAAATTGGTCACTCAATACACAATTGTTTGTGAGTCACTGCTGTACACAATTGGCTCCCGGGTTTCACCTACAAAATACACAGTTAATTCACTTTACAATATATTCTGTGAAGCACTTTGAGATGTCTCAGTAATGTCATAAGATGCTATATCAAATGCAAGGATTATTATTATTATTTTACATTTTCCCAGTAAACCATTAAGCAAGGTTTAAAAAAGTATTCACCCATTATATTTGTGCTTTTTTTCCCCTTTCTATTTCCTTGGTAAATATTTTCTGTTTATAATTAAAAACCACAAATTAATGCAAGTTAGGAAACGTTTGGAGGCCATATGTCCATGGTTGGTGGACATAATAAAAGGCATTATTGTATCGCTAGCTCAAACATCCAAGCAGCATCGTATAAATATCATGGCTCTTGATGATGGTTCTTGTGTGGCACTTTGTCTGGCCTAAAGCCACACACACACAAAAAAAAGAAAAGGGGACAGTAAGAGATGAACAAGCTAAAAAGCACATAAAGACGTCACGCACCATTGCAAATATTCTCCCCGTGTGGAAAACAATCCTAAAACATGAAATTATTATCCCATTTACAGAGAGGACAAGACGCTTTTTTTAAAGAGAACAATAGGAAAACATTATTTTATGCAACAGTGAAGAGCCTGTAAGACATCAATTTCTACCATATGTGACACAGTGTAAACTGCAGATTGTTGACTCCTCTACAAAAGTTGCTAAGCTCCAACATTACACATGGATAAGGCTCTTGAAAAAGGTGCGAAGTTCCTAACAAGCAGTATGTGTTCATCCTTCCAGTCTACTCTTGACATATCTGGATTTGTAGAATGTCTGGTTTCTATTATACTTTACAAAAAGAATTAGCTCTTTCTAGACTCAAGCTTGTGGTAACGCAAAGCTTTTATTAGATTTACTGTAATTGGACTTTTCCACAAACTATAATCCATGGCATTTAAAGTAACATCAGAAGTATTGAACAAAGAGTTTGTTTTTTTTATTTCGAAGAAATACTTGCTTGCAGTGTTTCTGTGCAATTGTGTCGAAGTGCCACTAGACTGATTTGGAAACTGATGTGGACACAGGTTACCTCTGAGTTAGAAGGTTGTGGGTACAAGTCCCACGTTGGGATTTTGAACTCATAAAGTCCAGGGTGACACTCCAATTCAGTGTTGAGGGGCTTCAACATTGTCGGAGGTCCTGTCCTTCAGATGAAATGTTAAACCGAGGTCCCATGTGCCTTCTCAAGTAGATGTTAATGATACCATGACACTGTTCAGAAAGACAAGAGAGTTTCTCCCGGCATCAATCCCCAGATAAAATGGGTCATTCACTTCATGGCTGTTTGTGGGACATTGCTGTGTAGAAATTGGCTGCAGCTTTCCCCAACACAAAACACGTAGTAACCGACCGCACCTTACAGGAAATCCTGTTTGAGCTTTGAGATATCGTCCCAACGTGAAAGGAACTATATTTAATGCAAGGATTATTAATACAAGGATTGAGACAAAATGGTTTCTTGTGCCATTCACAACTAGCTCCCGTTCTACTAGAGTAAAACAAATTATGTATTTACAGAGTAGTCAAAAGCGAGGAGAATCTCAAGGTGTTTTTAAAATACTATACCTCGCAAACAAAATGTCAGTACTCTTCTGACTTGCGAGGGCGGAAACTGGCACTGTGAAAACAGTATAGGACACAGAGCCTTCGGTCTGTGAACATTCTGATAAAAGCTGCTATGTTGCCAACCTGTCCTTTTGGCTTCAAAGCAGAGACTTGCAGTGAAACTATCCCCCACATGGTCTGAAAATGAAGCCCAAACTGTTACACCGTAAATATTCAATTTGCCTTTTATTTTATAGAATCTCATAACCCAGTCCTTTGCAGCTGCAGCTCATATTTGTAGACTGCAGAGAAAATGCAGAACTGTGCTATTTCAGCCCACTTCTCTGACTACATAAGTTCTGCACCTTACAACAAAGGGAAATGCAACATGAACAGTACATATGCAAGGAACTTGCTCCAGTCTCATTGTAAATAAACCAAATGATATTCAGAGGGGCTGTGACATGCAAGTGACAAGGCCATATCCCAAATGTGGTTTGTTTTTACAGAAACAGAAGAAAAAATCTCACAAAATTTCCAAAGTGAAGGGAAGGCAGCAAATATGTTGAACATATCACCATCTCTTCCAGGATTACGATGACCTACATCTTTGATCAGAGACCGCAGCCAGCGGCTTATACATCCCAACAGCTGAAAATATGCAAACCACTTCAAATGCCCTTCTGGGTGCCCTTGGGGTGTTGTGCATAAGAAGTCAACTTTTGTTATGTAGCAAGATCATTCACATTGTGCAGTTACTTCTCACATGGGCCTTGAGCAATCCATGAGAATGTGTGTGCTCTTTTCAGCCTGACATCTGCCAAGGCAGCAAAAGGCTTACACCATTTTCCAATATGATTGGGTTCAGAGATATAACTAATCTGCTGTTCTATAAAAGAGTTTAGGTACAGAAGATCATTTGGCCCTTTGAACTCTCCCCATTACAAATCTCATGGCAACGCATGCCTCTATCTCCTCTACATCCTATTTCTCTGTTTTCTCACCATATCCTTCAATATTTCCACTTCTCCATCTCTCTCTTGAATGCCTCAACTGATTTCTCAATCCATGGCTTTCTAGGGTACCTCTATCAATCACAAACCTTAGCAAAGACCACAGTGCAACAAATCCCTTGGAGTCGCCAAAATCAGTTCACAGCGATGTCACAACATTGGTTCCAACATTGTTTCACTAGTTTATTAAGGAAGATTTCAATAGACTTCCTGAATGTCCTCATGACCATTTGTGGTGAGGAGCATTATTGGATCCATGTATTGTTTGGATGAGGGGAGAGGGTCAATGGCCAGATAACATTTGATCCAGATGGTGTTGTCCTCCACTGTGGTGTATCCTTAGACTGCCACAACCGAGTCTGAGATTGCCAAGACTCTAAGATTGCCAGGACCTAGACATTCAGACTGACGAGACCCAGACACAGAGACTGCTGAGACCAAGACACAGAGACTGCCACCCTCTATGTGACTAAGATGTGAATGAAGAGTTGCCAGGCAGAATTTACAAGAGAGTTGTTTGTTAATGAGCTAGAAATAGCACATTTACAACTTTTGAGAAAAAGGTCAGAGCAGAAACAGAACGTGTAAGAGGTTGTAACTTTTTGAAGACATTTTTCAACCGCAAACCGCCTTTTTCTCAGGACGTCTGGGTTAAGCTGATGGAAGAGCTCAGTAAATATGAAAATGAACATCAGAAACAATATATGGAAAAGAAGGAATAAGGAACTTACATGGGAATGTAAAGGGCTGCAGAAGGTCAATGGGTGTAGCTGCTTTAATTCAAAGTGAAAAAGCAATTTCCAATGCTTTGCTCATTCTGATGAATTCCTAATTGGTTCCTTGTATTCCCAGACTTTCAAAATAATATAACAATAATTCTTGCTTTTGTTATAGCATCTTTCATATCAGGAGGAAGTCTCAAAGCCTTCAGAGGATATACTGTAAAGTGTAATGACTGTGTATGTTGTAGGTGAACACAGCAACAAATTTACACACAGTTATCTTCAATAAACAACAACAACAAAATTACATTTATAGAGCACCTTTCACTTCGGGAGGACATCCCAAGGTGCTGGACAGTCAGGGGTCAGGACCTGAGCATGGGGGAGGAGTGGGGTAGGGGTGAGGGAAGGCAGAGAGGTGGAAGGGCGACCGAAGGCACGATTGAAGAGGAGGGTCTTGAGACTGGCCTTGAAAGAGGCAAGGGAGGAAGCAAAGTGAATGGACTGTGGGATGGAGTTCCAGAGTGTGGGGGCAGAGAGGCTGAAAGCTCAGCCACCGATGGTAGGGCAGGTCGGGCGGGAGATATGGAGCAGGCCGGAGCCCACTGAACGGAGGGCAGGTCCCATAAACAGCCATGAAGTGAATGAACAACTTTATTTTGGGGATTATTGGCCTGGATACTAGGAGAAACTCCCTTCTCTTTCCAAGTAGTGCCATGGAATCGTTAACATCTACCTGAATTGGCAGACATGACCTTGGTTTAATGTCTTGCTTGAAGACGGCACCTCCAACAATGCAGCACACCCCAAGCCCTGCATTGGAGTGTCAGCCTAGACTATATGAGTTCAAAGTCCTGATGTGGGGTTTGAACCCACAACTTTCTGACTAAGACACGAGATTGCAACCCACTGAGCCGGGCTGCCTAAAACGGTGCATCTGTCGAATAGCATTGCAGATCAATGGATTTGAACAGGGCGTCATTAATGGGAGTTTCAATGAATTTCCTCGTTTTATTGATTCTTTTACTGCATTATCAGTCACAACTATATGCAAACATAGATAAACAACACGACACGTTCGGAGAAGCTGCTATTTCAATGCACTGCTTGAAACATTCTGCAATGGATCTTACATATGAATCTCAGAAGGTACTTGTTGATGAGGCAATTTTTTGTCAAGTGCCGCATTTCCATTCCTAACCTGCACATTAAGTGGGATGTTGAAAAGCCTTAAATGTTATTCGCATTAGACACTCAAAAGTCATCTGAACCCACTTAGCACTGGATGGTTTAATGCAAAATGG